AAAGCTTCTGCAGTAGAAAGAGGTTAGAAAAACATTATCGTCAAAGTTAAAGTATCATACACGAAATCATAGTGACCTTGAACAGCCAATCAGAATTCAGAAGCGAAAAAGTGGCATAATCTTTGAAAAGTACATTAAAAACTATTGCAAACTTGATATCACACTGTATAATTGTAGCTTATGTGTTGCAAGAATGTCTCTCAGTCAATACATAGATGACCTATAGAGAAATCGTACTATGCGCGATATACCCATTCATCCAGGTGACTACAAGTCATGGTACTTTGAGATTTATTGATATTTCGGACGTTATCCCCCAACCTACTCCTAACTCTAACCATAATCCTAATTCTAACTTTAACCCTAAACTCTAGTCTCAAAAGTCATAACCCTACCTAACAGTATAGATTTGCAGAAAAAGTACCAAGTATTAATAGAGAGAATACTGTACCTATCCTCTTCAAATCCAAAAAGTCAGGCATGACTTGATTTGGAATGAATTTTCATAGCATTCTCTGTGTCTGATCGCTTCTTGAGGGTCAATTTTTGAAAGACGTTGACTGTGGCTGTGATACTTCAACTTCGCCATAATGTCCTTAGTAGATTCTTGTTCACTTTTGTAAATGACTGAGAGTGGCAAGTTAGTTGAGACACTGTGACAATTCTGCTGATGAGATGTTTAATTATACCGCTTCTGATCGGACCAGTGTCGCCTCTTTTTAGTCATGTTTGACAGTGTTCTCTAAAACATTTTTGAAAATACGTGGGTAGGATGAACTCATGTAACTTTCAAAATGCTTTAGAGTTACGTATGGAAATTCATAACCAAATTTTCTTTTTCTTCTGTACTTATTAGTTTCTTATACGGTTAATGCATTTCATAAAATATATATATATATATATCTATTTGTTTTATATCTTTGAGTTGTTTTATTGACTGAGATGTTAATTAAGCTAAATATTAACACAATTAGATTATTCTTCTTAATACTTCAGCTTTCCATTTTCTGATTTCTCTATAGAAAAAGATTTTGATTGTGAACTGTTTTCATTTCATAGCCACTCAGAGTTTTTATTTTGTTATACACAGAACAAGAATGAATAAATAAATGACAGAGAGACTAAACTGAATAATACAAACATATCGAAAGTTGATAATTCACTCATAATTGACAGTGTAAATATATTCCTCTGCCAATCTTCAAGGCTGGCCCAGATAATCTGACTATCAATTAACTAACAAGCTGCTTCTTTCCGCCTCCTATTTCAGCATATGATTAAAATTGGCAAGATGAAACCTAACTGAACGGCTAGCTTGCCTAACGATACACGGAGAGTTATGTAATATTCATTCATATGACATCTGGATATTTATCACTCTTGATGACTGCAGTGAAGTGAAGCGGTTTAAACAAGTAGACCAACGATCTAATTAGTTTTTAAAAAAGAAATAACATTTAAGTGAAATACCACTGAAGATTGTTCGTGGTTCACTGGCTCAGTGGTCACAAACCTCGCTCGTGTTCTGGGTTCGACTCCCGGGCGATGTACTCCTAGACCTTGCCTAGTCTACTAACTGGCAGTAAGCTCGGAAAAGAGGGAAGGCTGGGTATAAGACTACCAACCCTTATGGGTATAAAGGTCTAAGGTTAAACCTCTATTTTCTTCTTGAAATGCAAAATATTGAAAGAAATAATTGGATCCAGACATATGTTATTAGATGGTTAAAGATAATCGTCAAGAATCCGTGATCCCAGGTATCGTGTTAGTTAGCACTCACCAATCAGCAAGGAGTATCTGTATTCTTGAAAGAACTCATGTCCCCCTCTGTATCAGCTAGTGGTGTAGTCAGAGACGTTACCGTTGAGCTGTTTGGGCTTGCGACTGACCTACTTTAGGACTGTATTGGATACTTTGATTGGACACTAAGTAGTAAGTAACTAGTAAATCGTTTGTCTAATCACTTGTTTGGTACAGACTGAATTCTATCAATCAATTTGTGCAATGTGGCCAATATGCTAGGTGGCTAACCATTTAAAAAGCTGACAAGTAATTCCATACTATTTCTTGTTTTGAAATAAATGTATTCAGAAATGTGAATATTTAATATTCTTAAGGTTGATAATTTATGCTTATATAGATTTTCTTTTCTTCTCAATAGAGATATTTGAAACTATATTTATTATACACTGAAAAAGCTAAAACACACTGATAATTAAGTTGTCTTAAATTGTTATGTATTTATTTTGAAATTTTTGTATAAACTTGTGTGTCATCCACTGGTTGCTTGTTGTTTTTCAGTCGATCGATAAGACAGAACTGGAATTAATTGACTACGCTATATGACCTATCGATCACAATCGATTATAGCATAACTAAGTTTTGGTTGCTTATAGAATGAAAAATAAGCAATATATTATGCATACAAGTATGAACTGAACTGATATCAGAATGTAGGACAAACTGTTCATCATTATATATGTACATATATACTGTGTCGTTCTTTGTAGTTAATATGATTGTCATTTATATGTATACAAAAACCAGTATAATTTGGAATAGAAATTATTTAACTAGCAGGCAAAATACAAACTATCGGTTGAATATATATAACGCAGTATTTGATTAGATAATCACTGAAGTCTTACCAATAGAGAGATACCTGGACTTTGAGTTTCTGTCCTGTATATGTATATGTATATGTAATCGAATTCACTACTCAAAGTTCATTAGTTTGCCTCTAGGGATAAATAATAACTAGGTTGTTTTTTGTTTTTTTAATCAAATATTTTACAACTGAATGCCGTATATTTTTATCAATATTTTAGTTCATAGTAATACAGAATAAGTAGACTATATTTATCCTGAAAAATAAGTCAGACCCTTGAAATCCTTTATATTATGAATAAATTCATTAGTTGCGTATTATTATCTATAGATAAGAAAGTTAAATAAAGTAAGACAGGGAATTAACTCAAGGTCATTGAATCTCATCCCACCGACTGAATGTTCAACAATGGGCTTCTTCTATAATGAGAAGGTCTTAAGCTTCTTTCCCTGTTTGCGTCATGGGTATGAACTGTTGAAGAGGCCCAAAGTGTGACGAATCGGCTGTCTAGTACCAGCTTGTTTTCACTAAATGTCTAACTATTGTCGTTTCGTAATCCAACTTAAGACATTTTAATCTTTGTAAAACACATTCAACTTTAATTGAAATAAACTCTATGCATACAAAACTTTCATCATTTGTATTGGGCACAGAATAACTAAGTACATTCTGCTAAACCATTGTTAACTATGAGGGTAACACTTACAAGAATACTCTTTTTTTCACACCTGTGTAGTGCTAGGCATCACCTAATTAGTGGGTTAATTTATGCACGAATAATGAAATTTTATAGCAGGTGGAGACCTCTGGATTAAGAATAATACATATGTATATTAATACAGAAATATAGAGATGACCAGCATTGTCTGCCATCGTATTCTGCTTTACTGACTGACGGTATATAAGATATTCTGATAAGCCATTCAAACGCACAATCCTAACCTGTTCTTTTTTGAATAGTTTAACAACATGCGTCAGTGGTTTAATGGCAGGAATGCTCGTCAACCACACACGTGATCAGCTTTCGACTCTTATTCGACGCATTGATAAACTTTGTTTACTTTACTAGCTGATAGTAAGCTCAGAAGAGAGGGATAGTTGACACGAGGCTAACAATTCCATCATACTGAAATAACGTATCTGTTGCTGAAACACCAAATATGGAGCCTGAGGCTCCATGCCTTATTTGAAACATAAGGAATTAGATAATGTTATAATTGGTTATACGTGACTGTCAAAGTCATCCTAGCAAAATATCCAACGTTCACCTCTGAAAATGTCCAGTTTTCATATGGACCAATGATACATTACTTTAGATTATGGGTTTAGTAGTGTAACAACAGAAGACAAGGGCCAAGCAACACATAGTATATTCAGGAAATCAACACATATTTATAGATTTTCATGTACATTGTTATAGATTATTGTTAGCAGAAAACACAGGTTTCTGATTGGTTGTTTCTCCCTGAAAGTTAACCTTGCATCTCTTTGTGGCTGTTTCTTGAATGTCAGATCATCTAAATGCTAACTGTATCCCCTTACGCAAAGTCTGCTGTGTTTTGTTCTTATTTTTCTCACGATCAATATTGGGGACGTAAACACTGACGTAAATTACTGTCTACCAATTTGGCTAGCAGCCAGCTCTCACCACAGTAGGAGTTTGGCCGAATTTCAGTGAAGATTAATTTACGAATCAACATCAGTTGGAGATTATTGGAAAACAGGTAGCATTGGACAGCTGTTTCACTCTAGTTTAGGACTCCGACAGTGCATGTCCACGACCCCATCGGGGATTTAACCCAGAACTTTCAATTAAAGAGACCAAGCTCGTTGATCACTTAGCCACTTGGACTGTGATTCAGTGACCTATGAATTTTAACCTTGTCAGTTCGTGATTTAGCCTCACCAATGCCTTCTATTATTATCCACTTCACCGTGATATGGTGACCAAGTTAAAGTTCATTGAATTACTGCTCAAATGGCTGAATAATCACCGAGCTTAGTCTCGTATCCTGAAAGTCCCGGGTTCGATCCTTGGTGGGGACATGGGTGTGCATTGCTAAAGAGTTCAAAGTAGAACTAAATAGCTGTCCAATGCTCCCTAATTCTTAATGATCTCTAATATTCAAAACAACACATTGTTATCCGTTTAACATCGTACGCTATTTCAAAACCTTCTATCACTCGGATTTTTATTTTACCTTCAATCATCATCCAATATACCGATAATAGTCCACCAACTTAAGAGTATCTTAGTCTCACTGTCAACTAGTAAAATAGTATCATTATGTTTTTTAAAGATTATAAATGTTTGTTAATCTTACTCAGGTGTTTCTTCATGTTTACTTTTATTGAATGAATATTTTTCTTTTATTTTCTATTCATGTCACAGAAACCTAATGTCAACATCCTGGACTGCTTGAATTTATTTACATCTAAGGAAGAATTGGATGGTAATGAAAGACCGGTAAGTTCATACTAATTAGTACTAGTGTCATACTACTGATATGTACAATAGTAGTAATGTTAACATGATTGAGTAGGTAATCTAGTGTGACAGATGACACACTTTAGACTGCTTGTAGTATCAAGTTGCTCGCGATATGCTTGTGTGTAGATGATATTATCGATTATTGGTTTCCAGAGATTTGATTGGTTACAGGTTTGATCAAGAGTTAACATCAGTTAGAGAGAACCATTGGAAAACCTAGGAGTACTGGATTTCTCTTCCGTCCTAGTTTGGGACTCTTCAACAATACGCACTCAGGGGTTCGAACGTAGTACCTTTATCAACTGATATCAACTCGTGATCAAACAAGTAACAAATCAATATCTGCAAAACAATATTTGATAATCAATCCGATACTCACTAGTGGCTGGTTCTATATGGGGAGGAGTTCTAGTGAGAACTCGTAACCGTCGGGGTCCAGCAAGTCAAGTAAGAGGTTACTTATTCTCCTGACTGACAGTTGCGTTATATATGTATCGCGAATTGGCGGAAACTAGAATTCATGGGTAACTGAATCCGGTTCCAACGGCTGAGTGGTTTACCAGTTTGCTATGTAAGAGGAAGGTCCTAGGTTCCAAACTCGGTGGGTGAATACTGTTGCTCAAGGGTACCAAACTAGGACGAAGAATCTGTCCAGTACTCTCAGGTTTTCCAATGGTTTTCAAACTAATGTCAAGTCGTGATCAAAACTGTAGATGATATTGTTTTAACAGTTTGTCTAGTTATTTAACTTCACATATCTTCTGATATTTTGAAATGTGTATGACATAAAGACTGTAAACTGAAGTAATGAAGTATAGTCATTGGATTAAAGTATTCTGAACCTGTAGAAGGTATTAATGTCTAATACAAAAGTACAGCAGAATATATTAATGTGATTTCAGAGTTATGTGTCTATAATACTACTACTACTAATGAAATCAAGGTTATTTAAGTAGAATCCAAAATATGTCAGTAGAAGATGAAATAAATATTCCGCTTCAACTGCAGTTGGCACTAACACATATTGAGGGAGGGGAACTAATTGTGCACACTTTCGACAAATCTTCTCCAGTCATGTAAACAACTGTCATAATTTCAGGTTTGATCACAGTGATTTTAGTCAGAGAAGCATTGTAAAATTTGAAGTTCCGGACACTTTATTTTATTCTTATTTGAGACTGTCCATCAGTACACACCATGGCCACACCAGGAATAGAAGCCCAGGATCTGAAGTTTACATGGCGAACTCACTGACGATCTTATCATCTGGATGCAGTTCAATAGCCCATCACTTGTAACCTTCTGCCAATTCGTGACATGCAGTGTGACCGCTTATCAGTGCGAATTTCAGTGCCGAGCGAAATCATAGGTGCGCACTGTTGAAGAGTCCCAAACAAAGAGGAAACAGTTGCCGATTACTCTTTGGTTTCCAATGGTTCTCTAACTGAATTTAACTTGAAACTAGTCATATCTCTGAAAAGTCAACACTTGAAAGCTGTTTTAATTACCTGAAAGTCAACTAAACCTCGTGATAATAAAATATATATTCACATTCTGGTTACTGATGTGTATATGGTCCATATGTTTTTGTCAACTCAACTGAACAGTTGAAATTCTTGAGTTAAGTAATATACTCATCAAATCATCTTATAAAACGTCAAAAATCTATTTATTTTTTAATGGCTTATATATATGTGTACAGCTAGCAACAACAGCATCAGCTAGCTTACTTCAAAGTGAAGTGAGAATCATGTGTGTCTGTGTGTGTGTATGTGTACTTCATGACTATAAGGATATGAAATAATTGTACTTAAGTATCACTTATATTATGTCATATGACAAATGAATATTACATCAACAATCATGTGAATCATTGTTGTATAAAATAAGCTAAAGTATATTTTACCATAACACTTAAGGATTACATTAATTAATTGCCTATATGTATGATGCTGCTGCTAAGTATGAGTGAGGATGCATTGTGATTTCATCGAGTTAGTTAACTTCGGACTATCAGTAGACTGTCTATTGTTCAACTACGATAGATATCAATCCGGATCAGATCAACAAAAGTACCAATGATACAAAGAGATGGAAACAAAACACAACACAGTTGGAGATGTTGTTTCTCTGTGTTTTCACAGTTAGCAGCGTGTAAACAGTACATACATCAAAAAAGAAAAAAAAATTTAGAACATGTGGCTTTTATTTAAGAAGTTTTACGTGTATCAAAACAATTTCTCACATGAAGAAAATAAAATTTTGAAAAGAAATGTAGAAACATTACAAACAAAAACAAAAAAAATAAACAATAAAATAAATATTGAGCTCTTCATGGATAAATGGGATAAGAAAAAGAAAGTAAGGAGAAGAATCTTTTTGACAATCTTAAATACACTTCTTATAAAAGTATCATGGCATAATTGACTGACTGAACTTGCACAAAAGTAAAGCAGATTCTAGAACATAGGCATTCCTACCGGCGTCCAACAGTCATTATATTTCTTGACCTAAAGGCAGCATTCGACTCTGTCGATCGAGAAGTCCTCTGGAGATGCTTGGCTGTAAAGGGAATTACAAGAAAATATATTGCACTGATTAAGGCACTCTACTCGTACTCATACAGCCAGGTGAGGGCTTACGGCGACCTGTCATCTGAACTGATGACTACCAGTGGTGTCCATCAAGAATGCCCATTATCCCCTTTTCTATTCAACTTCATCATAAATGTACTAATGGACTTAACCCCAAGCGAATTCAGCGACTCAGGGATTGACTTGCTACCTGGGAATAATCTCGTTGACTTGGAATATGCAGACGATATAGTCCTTCTAGGCGAAGACGCTGACGAAATGCAGAGTCTTCTAAACACCTTGAGCCGCAATCTACGAATGTTTGGCATGCGATTCGCTCCCGCCAAATGCAAGATGATGTTACAGGACTGGACTACATCGACGCCTAGTTTAAAAATAGGGAGTGAAGTGGTAGAGCACGTTGACCGCTTCACTTATTTGGGAAGTACCATCAGCCAGTGCCAACGGGTTGATCTCTGACGAAATCTCAGCACGAATACAGGGGGCTCGTCTCGCATTTGTTAGTTTACGCCGACTCTGGCGTAGACGAGATGTTCGACTATCGACCAAAGGGCGGGTGTACTGCTCATCAGTCCGCTCCGTCCTCCTTTATGGTCAGCTGTGAGACCTGGCCACTGAGAGTGGAAGACATGAAAAGACTAGCTGTCTTTGACCCTAGATGCCTGCACTCTATTTCCCGTGTAAAGTGGCATAATAAGGTGAGCAACATTGAGGTTAGGCGTCGAGTTCTAGGTAAACAGGGGAAATCAATCGACGAAGTCGTGAAGCTACAAAGACTGAGATGGTTAGGACATGTGTTACGCATGCAAGCCATCGCCTCCCTCGACGAGCTATGTTAGCGGATATAGGGTCAGGCTGGAAAAAGGCTAGCGGCGGTCAAACAAAAACTTGGCACCAGTCAATGAAATCCACAACAGTTAGTCTAAGCCACGTAGGAAGGTGTAGATTTCCTGACTTGTTGGGGTCCTCGGGACGGTAAAAATCTTTGGTTGGAAACAATTGGTGACATGGCTCAAAACCGTTCTCAGTGGCGCAGATGCATCCACTCCCTGTGACTTATGATCTTCAACGAAACTGTTTTGTATTTCTTTATTACTACTTTGTCTCACACCTCTGCTCACTGTTTCTATTATGCTTTTCTTGTACTTTCTTCTCTTGCTTCGCGTGCTACACGGAATGTGGCGACTTGAACTTCCACCCATTTGTTCAAAGTTCTATGTCGAAAACAGACAGACAGACAAAGCAGTTCAATGCACCACACTCCATAGAGAAAAGAAAGAATGGGAAGATTCTAAGAAATTGTAATTTTCCGAAGACAGAGTTGTAACATGGAAAAATATGGCAGTCTAATGGATATATATTGTTTTAATTCCTTTACTCTCTCAGTGGAAGATAAGGCTTTGAGCTAGAGGCTTGAAGTTTCGGTAGCAGTGGTATTTATTTATACAGGATGGGTTTGCTAGCCTCATGCTCAACCTTCCCTCTTTATCGGTCTTGTTATTGACTTACAGAGGTAAAGGAGTGCGTCGGTGGCCGGGGATGGAACCCCGAACCACCTGCATGGTTGGAGAGTATCCTACCACTGTACCACCAACGCACAGTGTTGGATATGTAGTGGGATAGTAAATTCATCTGCACCAATGAAAACAAGTTTGATGCATATCACCAATAGTCTCCCATCTGTTAGGTCTTAGCGTCCTGAGGACCCTATCTAGACTGTCTACATCTCCCAAAACAACAGTCAGAGACTTCATGGAATGATGCCAGGTTTTGGTGTGACTAACTTTAACTCTTTTCTAACGCAATTCTTTATCAGCTAACATTGCTCGACAAAGTAGACATTGGCTAGGAGTGTATACTTCACATGTCCCAGTCGTCTCAATTGATATGACTTCACAACCTCACACTCACTGTATGTAGAAAACAATGAAGGATAGCAGCATATAAGCTTGTGTAATTGTGATTTCATTTCATAGAAATTTAGAATCTTATTGCTTATACCCAGTAAACCTGGAGGAAGATTATTTGTAGCTGTAAGGAAAATCCATATTCGGTTTTCCAGACAATGAATTGTTTTTCCCATCATAGAAAATACTATTTATCATGTAGTATACTTTACTAGAATTATTAACTGCAACCCTAACTATACATTTCCAACTTTCCACCAGTGAAAATGATAACTTCCTTTCGTTTGAAGGAGACATTCCTTGTCATTGGCGAAGTCTTACTATGAAATGCTATTGAAGTGTACTGTTAGATTTAGGTTTACAGAATTCATTTACTATCTGGCAGTTTCCTACATGATGTTGCGTATTACTTGATAATTAGCAAACAATAGATTTCATCTACAGTGATATCTGAGCAGAGTTAGGAATGGTTTACCTTTTGGCTATGGAGTCCAGATCACATTTGTTAGTGAAATCCCTTTGAAAGGATCTATATCGCTTGCTGATAACATCTATTTGGGGGATAAACTAGTACCTTGAGTTTTTATTACACAAAATACATTCCTTTTTCAGACTCTATGGGATTTGTACGGATTTTGGATTAATTTTAATTGTTAGATGTTATTCACAAGCCAATATTAATTAGAAAGATCATTAGAAACCAGGGAGTTTCTATACGGCTGCTGGATGGGTTTCCTGGAGCTGTTGTGGGAAGTTGTGACCAGTAGGGTCCACCAGGTCAAGGTGAAGTGAATTCTTATTTGAAGGTATTGGTGAAGGCAGCAGCGCGCTACATCATGAATTGACAAAGTTAGAATTCGTAGGTCACTAAATTCCAACCAAAAATGGCTGAGAATGGTCAACGAGCTTAATCTCTCGTGACCTAAAGACCTCGGATTCAAACCCTATAGGGGCCCGTGGGTACACATTGCTAGAGAGTCCTGACCTTAGGTGAACAGCTGTCAAGTATTTGCCCCCACCCTGTCTCAGGGATCTCTCTAAGTGATGTTGCTTCTTGACTAAAATCTAAAATTCCTTGTTACTAAATATTACATCTTTCAGGATACCATTCTATAGACATGTTTTAAGCTTTGTTAAATGAAATATCTTATGCAAATTAAAGAGGTTGTTGTTGAACTGAAATTTGTTAGCTTGAATTAATTATTACATAGACGTTTTGTATTTCGATTGGTTGTTTTCATTATCGCATAATTATTTTCAGCATTTGTATTAATTTTTGTTTATACCGATTTGGGCTATTGACCATGTATGCATGAATGCATGCATGCATGCATGCATTACTTTATGCAGGTGTTTGTTTGTTTTGAATGGATTTACTCGCTATCGAAGATAAAGCTGTTGCATATACCGCTTCTCAATGTAGTTCCGATTAGGAAGTTGACTAAATGTTTCTATGGGTGAGTGGGTGTGTGAGAGTGATAATCATTCTGAAAGAGCGGGATACGGTATACTTTTGTTGTAGAAATAACAATGAAAGCAGTCAATAGCTTACAATCGAGTGATGGTCAGTCGTCTTCTGAATAGCACAGAGGTGACGTTGATATAAGAATAAAAATTGTGCACTGTGGTAGAATATAATCCCATTATGGATTAAATTTAATTTGATAAAGTTTCACAGTTTAATTGAATATGAGATTTTCCCGTCGATTGATTGGACCGAAGTGCTTGGTCACAGGTTGACATGTCGGCTTCTTGAGCAGATGCTTCGATGATTTCTGGGCATTTAGTTAGTATTTAATTGGTGGATGGTGATTAGCAGTGGAATCCAGGACGTGCATTTCGTCCTATTTGGGACTCGTCATCTGGGTGTACTTGCATTTTTCAGTGAGTGATGATGTTCCTACTGAGGCTCGAACCCAGTGTCCATAGTTTTAATAGGACGAAATGCGCATCCTGGATTCCACTGCTAGTCACCATCCACCAATTAAAGTTTCACAGTGTTATACAGCAGTAATATTGCCTGAATCCTTGTTCATCGAGTCTACACTCAACACGTGTAATAGCAATGACTCATCATGCATACCGGAAATATGGAAAATACTACTATCAATCAAAACAAGTGATGGAAAATAATGGAATTATATAAACGAGGTTAGAAAGTTGTGCCAATGAGTATCTTGATATGATTATGAGCGGCAATAAATTGTGCTCGAATCGTCATCAGTAAATATTACTACTGTATAACACTGTGAAACTTTATCAAAATAAATTTTATCCATAATGGAACAGTGGTAACGTCTCTGACTGTAGCACTGGATGAATTGGGTTCACATTTCCACCAGGGAACCATTTCCTTTGAATTTTCAGTTACTTTTTGTTAGCGAGTGCCATTTAACATGAAACGTAGGTTCAGAACTGCCTTTCTATGTTGGTTGAAGACAACTTACATCATCTGATAACTATATGTATTGATCACTTCATCCTTATTTGAAGAGTTGCATTAGCCCTAATGAATTGGTTAATAACAAAATCTCAGGGTGGATACGAATTGAATTATCAATAGGACCAGTGGAATATCTGGTTATCCATTGAAGGGGTATATGGTGTGCTTTGCTGCATCTTACTTTGGTTAGAGGAATTTATCATGAGCTGATATCAGTTAGAGAACCATTGGAAAACCTGGGAGTGCTGAATAGCCAGCTGTTTCGTCCTAGTTTAGGACTCTACATCAACACTTACCCAACGGAGTTCGAACTCAGAACCTTCTGGCTATAAGACTAGCGAGCTAATAGACCATTAAGCCACTAGGACCTGATCCACATCTTACTTTATACTTGCAAGATATGTCTGCTGAAAGTGGATGTGTAAGAACTACAGGTTTATTATCTCACGCTGCATTAGAATGGGCACCACTGTAAACAATAATTAAATTTTAGCGTGGAGTATTAGTTATGCAATGTAGGTCAGCTGATAAGATTTTGAGTCTTTTTAGATTGAGGTGTAGTGCATGGTGACGAACGTCGACTAGTAGTGTTAACTGAAAGAAGTTTCAGATAGTACAGTTAGCGATATTAAGATTGGAACAGACCTACCAGTTCACGAATCTAAATCCCATAGAGAGAGGTTTAAATGGGTTGATTGGGTTCTTTGTGATTCTAGGAAATTAAAGTTTGAAAGACTACGTATTATTATTATTGTCTCTAAATTAAACTACATTAGTTCATCAGATTGATTATTCACTCTTTATGATCCTACATTTCCTATAAATTCTATTTCTTGGCATCATACCCATATTTATCCAGTTATTGGTGGATTTTATTTGTTTTGTTTTCTATGTTTTTCTAAGTGTGTGGTGGGTTGAACTGATTGATGATACACTTGTGTGCACATTCTGTCAGTCAATCAGTGTAAGACTGAAATCTGTTTTGTCTAGCGTAGTTACGCTTATTTTTTGTTTCACCTATTTCATCTGATTGTTTTTCTTAAAATAACATTTTTTCCCTTATTGATTTTTTTTTAATTATTATTTCACAGATCTGCAGTCGATGCAAAACACGTAGAAGATGTACAAAAAGTTTTTCTATTCAAAAATTCCCACAAATTCTTGTACTTCGTATCCTTTTTCAGTCAAAAAAGATGCATTTTCTGTTACATGTGCTTATATGTGTACATATACTACTACTATTGCTACTGTTATACATATAACAGTAGTATGTTGCGTCTAGTCCATCAGTAGTAGTTCGAATACTTTTTACATTAAATATGTTTACTGTAAGAGGAGAATTTAGACACTGGTAGAATATAATTCCATATTAGATAATTTTCTATGATGTGTAACATACGGTGAGACAACAGTAGTATTAAGTCTATAACGCTTTGAGCACAATTTGTCGCTCATAATCACATCAATGTACTCACAGGGTTTCACAATTTGCTATATATATATATATATATATATATATATATATATATTCGGTTTTCTGCCAACTTTTTCACCCCGCTCCAAGTCTGCCCACATGCTTTCATCTCCTCTTCACATGACCTCCTCCAAGTCACCCTCGCACTAACGACCAACTCACCGCTTCTTTTTCGGGTTCCACTCGAGCAATGGCTTGTCTAGTGATATCACTTGATGGTTTCCTCAGAGGATGGCCAGTCCATCTCCATTTCTTCCTGCCTATTCGTTTCACAATCGATTCCTGGTTGATTCGCCCCCAGAGACCCCTGTTGCTGATCTTTTCTGGCCGGCCATCTGATCTTCAGTATTGAGCGAAGAGAACTATTATTGAAGGTCTGAAGTTTGTTTGAGATACTCTTTACGACGCGCCAAGTCTCTGATCCGTAAAGTAGCACTGACTTTGCATTGGAGTTGAAAATCCGGGTCTATATTTGAGATTCTGAGTGTTGTTGACCTCCACACAAACTTAAGAGTAATGAAAGCTTGTCTTGCTTTTCCGATTCTTACTTTGATATCCTCGTCAGTTCCGCCTGTATTTGAGACGATGCTTCCAGGGTAGGTAGGTAAAGGAGGTTGTTTCTTTCAGGTTCCTTCCATTTATGCTGATTGTTGTCTGTTGTTGTTGCAGTTATTTATCTTAGCAGGGTCAATCATTCTACCTCTAGCTAAAATTCCTATGTCCAGAAATTTAACTGACCCTGATCTACTTGTTTGACCTATGTAGTCGACCTTACAGTTACTACATGGTATTTGGTGTTTGTGTGTGTGTGTTATATAGAAGAAACTTATGAATTTTGAGCTTGATTTTATCTACTCCTTATACAGAATTGTCAAGTAAATGACTAATCTATAGTGTATCAATCGAAGGAATACATTCTATCTGCAACATCATTCTCTGACCCCTGACATATTTTTCGCTTCCTAACAGATCGAGAGGGATGTTGAAAGGCATACAAAAATGTATGTGATTACAGATTGTTCTTCATGAGCTTAAATATGTGGTTAAAACAAAGTATAATTGGGTAGCTCAATAAGTTAAACAGTCTGCCATGAATCAGTATTATTTATTATTATTTGGGGTTAACAATGATATAATATTATTATTCCCTTGGGTTCTGAATGGAATATATGACTTCAACAGCACATCCCTGTTTCTCCCTCTTCTCTATGGTCCCCTTTAGCTGACCTCATGGTCTCTCATCTCCGCCTCACACGACGTCTTCTATATCATCTTCAGATCCAAGCCCGACTTGTCATTTCCCATTCCAGTTCCAGTCAAGTGATGGTCTGGTGCGCGAAGTCATTCTACAATCTTCTCAGCATGCGTCCTATCCATCTCCATTTTCTTCAGTATGTTTTCTGAGCAATCGATTCTTGATTGGTTCGTTCCCAGAATTTATTCTGAATGCTTTGCTTTGTATGCCAAAAATTATATAATCGTAGTCATTATTAACAATAATTAATTAATTAGTGCAGGTAACCTGGGGTTCTAGTGGAAAGCCGTGACTAGTAGGGTACAGCAGGTCGAAGGTGAGGCAGCAGCTCATCGAAGAAGACATTGCGAAGTGCTAGCGCCACGTCGTGAATTGGCAGAAGTGAGAATTCATGGGCTATTGGATTGAGTCCAAGTGGCTTAGTGGTCTATGGGCTTACCTTGTAACCAGAATGTCCTAGATTCGAACCCCGCAGTGTGGGTGCGTACTGTGAAGAGTCCCAAACCATGGCGGAACACGTGGCTATCCAATGGTTCTCTAACTGGTGTCAGCTGATGATGAAACCCTCGAACCAATCAAACACAATGCCTACAGAACAATTATTTGATAATTAATTATAGCTTAAGTAAATTTCAGCGAAACAAGTTATAATACAGGTTTGAATATCTTTGAAAACTGTTTACACTATGATTAACCTCTTTTTTTGAGCCTGGCACACCAAAAAGATTGCATCCACACTGTACACAATCATGAATTTGTAGTTAAAAACCCTTTAATAAACAACATATATAGTCAGCTTAACATTTGTAATCTATTGATGAATACAACATATTAAGGTTAGCTTGAACAGTCAGACTTCACATGTGGTATATGGAGGATGGATGGTAGTATACAAGGCCATAGTCTCTTGGATATCTATTTTCATCCTAAAGTGCTTTCACTGTTATTTGTTACTGTTAAGTTGTTATAAGGAAGTAGTATAACCAATGACATTCATCATTTTTCTTTTTAAGTTATGCAGCGGATTGTTGTTTTAATCTCTCTTGTCTAACATTTACATCGTGTGTAAGTCTCTATGATACTTGTGGCATATACATATAGAGGTACCTCTTATATATATCTATTTCTTTGGTGAAAACTCCTACATGGTATAGAATTTCATATATGCTGCTATTCTATCTACCTCATAAATTTATTATTTACTTTTGCGGGGGAGAAGGGGGATGGAAATGTGTAATAAGTGGCATTTTGTAAAACTTGTAGATAGAGACTGTAAGAATGTTAATTATGTGTAGAGGAAATTGGTGTCTAGCAGGCTACATGACGTAAATGAAGATAGATAGTGGAGTATCAGACAGATAGATAACTTATTAGCTCAGGAATACTACTACTAATAATGTTATATAATTTACTAAAGTGTAGAATATTCTTTACACTTTATGAGTAATAGCTTATGTATGTATATAACTGGTTTGTATTTCCGGGGGAAAGACAACATATCACTGAATTTTACTAAGTAAACAAATGGGTTTCTTTAATACTAGACAGTTTGTTAGCAATTTATTGGTTTCCATTGCACTTTCATTTACGAAATTATATCATTTAAGAGACTACTGAAAATCAAGGAGGAGATTCGGTTTGTATATGATATGATCTAGGAATTCAGTGGTCTGAATCCTGCCAAACTACGGTATGTACCAACTGCCATTCGATTGTATTGGAGGAAAGCTATCCTTTAGTCTGATTTCACTGACATCCTCTGGATGAGGTCATTCCTAACATAGAAGTAGCACTAAGCTCAATAGATAAGACGACAGCAGAAGACGTTCGAGCACAGTGTGCATTAACCCTGTAAAATCAAAAGAAAACAAAATCAAACTTAACAACATCGGAAAGAGAACCTTTAATTAGTCTCAAACAAGATAAAAACATCATCATCGAGAAAGCTGACAAAGGAAACTCCACAGTAGTCTTCGATAAATCTGAATATATCAGGGAAGTCACTGAACATATTGAGATGGGTCCATATGAGGAAATTAAGAAGCCTATAGATACAATAATGAATAAGGTTAAAAAATCTACAGCGGAATTAAAATTCAGTCAATTGTTTTTTGTGAGTTATACTACTCTGTGAGCTAAATATGCAGTCAACATTGATACATGGGAAACTCGTTCTGTTTGTTCGTATCATGAAAATACAAGTACTAAGAATTAACATCGACGAATGAAAATAAACTGGATTCATCTGTAAATATTTTAATTCAAAATTTAACAGTTTATTCATTTCACATTGGACATAGACATCTGAAGTAAGGCACAAAACTAATCAACCACCACTTATCTCCCTTTATTTATTCCTTTACGTTCCCTGTGGAACGTAGGGTTTCAAGCTAGAGCTTTGAAGTTTCGGTAGCAGTGGTGTTTACTTTCACAGGATGGGGTTGTTAGCCCCATGCCCAACCTTTCCTCGTTACTAGTCTTATTTACTGGATTAGCGAGGTAAAGGAGTGCGTCGGTGGTGGGGGATCGAACCCCGGATAACCTGCGTGGTTGGCGAGTATTCTACAGCTGTGCTACCGACGCACTAATACTCTCCCATACTCTATAACAACATAAAGTGCTTGTAACTTCTTCCTCTGATTATTTCACTGGATCTCATCGAAACATCTCCATTGACATATGCTATCTTTAAACATATGTTTTCGTTGGACCCTGAAATTATGAGTGAAAACATGGAATTTCACTGTTCAGGCTTTCATTGTTATTTGCTGCTGGATACTGTTCAGTAAGCTACTTAAGAAATGAAGCAGCTTACTTGGATGGTTTTCAATTTCTTTATTATGCTAATCGAAAAACCTATAGCCTCCAGTACTGTTGAGACTAAAGATTATTGGCTCTACGAATTTTTGTATCGCCTTGATCTGATCAATTATACACTTATAAATTAATTTTACTTCCTCTGTCATTCAATTTCAAAGCTGATGACAGCTTCGTAGTACTGAGAGCCTAACTTCAATATTGATTGGTCATTGTGAGAGTGCATGGAGTGTTATTTGTCGTGTATTTAATGTTGCTTGCGGTTAATAACACATAACTCTCACCATCGTTGTAGACTTTGTGAATTAATATTTAGATGGTTAAAGTCGATCTAGCAAGAATCATAAGACATAGAAAGGCCAGTCGTGGATCCGAATATCTCAGTGGTCATATTCCTAACTGCAGCACTATGTGATGAGAATGCAAATACTTCTCTTTTCAGGGTTACAGATAAGTCTCTCAGCACAAAATCTAGGTCCACGACTTCCTTCCAAATGCCTATCCAAAAGAAAGTCATTTATTTCACTTACCTGGTCAACATTGTTCCAACTACAGGCAACAAAGATGAGGATGTCAGAACCAGCCAGGATCGGGAAGGCAAGACAGGTATTCAATACATTGAAATGAGTGTGGTGGTCGTCAGTATTTGACACAAGAAACAAAATTCGAATTTCTGTATGATTTACAGACTCAGCGCGTGCGTCACCGAAATCATGTTCAGTCAGCTGTAAACTTCCATCAACAGATGACTTCGATTGTATCAGATGGCGGGCTGGAAAGAATAAGCAACAGGGAACTCTTTCAGTGTAGCAAAACAGCCAAGAACAATACTCTCCAATAAATATGCAGGAAGGAATAGACACTGACTGGATAAACACTGAGGAAACCGTTGACTAATATCACACAGCAAGCAGGCCCTTCAGTAGAACTCGAATAGGAACCGACGAGCTGAGTCTAGGTCTGAGGTTGACATGGAGGTGAACATCAAAAAAAGAGATGAAAGTTTGTAGGCAGTTGTGGAATCAGCTAAAAAGGATTACAGAGAGCAAGGTGAAATTGAGACGTTCAACGATTTATCGATAATTCTTCTATTATCTTAGGGGATTTAATATATTATTGGTGTTGGATGGTTGGAGGCATTCGGCAGGAAGCTTCGCTTGACCTAGGTTTTGTGCTAGTTGGCACGCACCAGTCAGTAAGGCATATCTGCAACCTTGAAGGAACTCATTTCTCTTCTTCTGAGATTCGAACCCGCGTCACCCAGTGCTACAGTGAGATACGCTACCACTGACCTATTCAGGCTCGTGATTGACCTTCTGTAGGAATGTATTTGATACTTTGATAGGACACTAGTGACTTGTGTAATGTGTCTAATACTATGTTTGGTTCAAAGCGCACTCTGATGGCGAGCTATCTAGAACGGTGACCACGTTGTAAAGCTGATTGATAGAATTCACTCTGCACCAAACAAAGGACTAGACGCATCATATTAGTTACCAGTGTCCAATGAAAGGATGTTATTTATTCCAGTTTATTTGGCCGTGCAACTTTAGGTATGCATGAAGTGTGTCCGTATATGGCGATAGAAGGAAATTGTTATGCTAAAATTACGTATATCCCTATTTATTAAACATTGAAGAGTACTCACTCTAAACCACAGTTGTATTGTGTTAAAATAAATTCATCGAATGACAAATTCAATTTTGTAAAAAATTTAATCAATATTACTCAGCTTTGGAATGTACTATTTGCCAATATAAACTATCGTATAAATAAAGTGATATCAGCCATAGAGACAACCTACCTCCCGGTTAATTTTATGTCAAATTTTATGTTCTATCTTCTTGATTTCCTTAACTATTTTGCTATAAATATAACGATTAGATTTAAAGCGTTTCTCTGGAGAACGTTTTCGTTCAAAAATGTCTGTTATGGTGGATTATCCATTGAAAAATTTAGATTTAATTGGATTCGCTACTCCAAGTTGTAAGTGTTTTTTTTTTCTTTTCCTATTTATTTTTATTTTTGAATTTTGAGTTTGATTCTCTATTTTTAAAATTAACTCCCAATTTATTAACTAATTCATTATAATCATATAAGTCCATTGATTATTTTTCTTACGGAATATTTGTTACTCGGTGAAAGAGAGAAACAGTGTTAGTGTGGATTTTTGAAACTCAAATTATAAATAGCTTTAAAGACCGGCACGTCTAGAAATCTTGACGTTGTCTTGTGAACGTATAGCTCATCGACTTAGCGCTTGACCTTAAACTGGATAGTATCATTAGACTTCATATGATATAACTTAAAGCCTCGTACATGGAAAATATGATCCTAGTAACTTAGTTCTGTCTAAATAACTAACAAACTATCACTGAGTTATATGAATACTACATTTCTTGCATCAAGAGTATCTCAGGTACCCTCCTAACAGAAGACCACTTTTTCAAGTATTGATTTGTAGAGATTTTGTTTGACTAGTTGGAGGATTTCATCATGAGATGACATCGGTTGGGGAACCTTTGGAAAACCTGGGAGCACTGGATAGACAGCTGTTCCATCCTAGTTTGTGACTCTCCAGCAGTACGCACCCACCGGGGTTCGAACCCCAGGACCTTCAGGTAGGGATTCTAGGGGGGAGTCGTGGCCAGTAGGGTACAGAAGGTCGAAGGTGAAGACAGTTTCTCATCGAAGACATTGCTAAGTGGTTGCGCTATTTCGTGAACTGGCAAAAGTCAGAATTCACAGGCTATAGGATCAAGTTTTAGTGGCTTAAAGGTTTACAAGCTCATTCGCCTTGTGACCAGAAGATCTTGGTTTCGAATTCTTGAGGTGGCTGAGTACTGCCGAACAATACCATTTGTTTTCTATGTAGTATTCACTGCTTTTTACCCTAAACAAGGAAGTGTTTAGAAGTATTTAGAATAATTAAATATTTTTATGGTAATGAAACATTTCTCGAAAGCTACTCTTCTTGGTTGGTTGTTAAAGGTTTTAATTGCTAGAAATAATTATAATTATCTTAAGAGTTAAAAGGCGGATAATCAGCTTAATATTTGTTGTTTACCTTATTGAGTACAACTGTAAGCCTCAATTAGATTGTTATTTTTACGTTTGTCCATCTCTGAATAGATCTTGGAGAATCACTTAAAGAGGTTACTGTATCCATTTGCTGGTACAATATAAATATTCGCCATTAAGTTTAACAAAAGCTTATGGTAGAACTTAGTTAGTTATACCGGAATAAACTTAGCAACATTTGTTGTATGTGCTATCTCACCGTCTTTACAAGCAGTTCATAATCGGTCATTAATGACTTTAGTGAACCCTTTAGGCCTCAAATTTTTTCACATAGTGAAAAATGGAAACCACTGCTCGATTTTGCATATAAATGGTCTGTGTGGAACACAGTATGGATACTGATTAATAACTTTGGGAATTACTATTATTATATTACTCATTCTTTTGTGTTCTGTGGGGTTTGGATTTTCAGCAGCAGTGGTGTTACTTTTACGGAGTGAGATAGCTAACTCCGCGCCTAACCGTCCCTGTTTTTTCCGGCTTACTATCGACTAGAAAACTAGGCGAGACTTAAGAATTCTTGTGAACGGTATTCGTTACTTGCAAAAGTATATTTGAATGAAGATGATATGAGCAGAAACAGTTAAGTAATTATGATTCACAGATATGATAATGATTGATAGAAATCTTACAAATAAATGTGAACCGGTTAGATAACTGGAACAATAAAATTAATACATATTTATCCACCAGTCATTTAATTTTGTCAACTGCCGAAATTGTACCCATCAGTGGTTAGGACTCTCGCCGACCATGCACATGGTCCGGGGTTCGAGCCCACGCCGACGCACACCTGATATCTATGGTTGGCCTGCGAATTTTGGGCTACCGATATCCACGCTGAAAATTCCATACTTGTACCAAAAATACGGTGTGGAATCAAGCTGTAACCATAAAATAAAATAAAATAAAAAATAAGCTGATGTGTGTATTACTTCTAAGACTTTGAATCTTTTCTGTCATTAAATAGTATTTTGTCACACCTCTACATCATGTTACATATTATGTGGAAGGGGTTCTGTTTCACGGTTGTGTAAATATTACTCTCAATTGTTGTCAAATGCAGCCTCGTATCCAGTTGTTGGTTAGTGAAGACAGCTGGACAGTTTTTCCGATAATGTACATGCGAATCGACCTGCACTTCCGTCTTAGTTACACTGATAGATGCCTCCGCGTGGTACTAGCTGAGGAGGGCGCATTCGGTGTCTTTGTTAAAATTCTGTCAGGGTTAGAGTGAACTATTTCCTGCACTTTTTGAGACTACCATACGAGATTATGCTCCTGTCGTGTCGTGGTATCCTCGAGGTGTTTTGGTATCTTGGGGAGTATGGTTGCGGCTCTGATGGAGATCGGTAACCTGATTGTGAAAACTGATCGGGAAGATTGTTGGTGAGAGTCTCGGATCCCTAAGTTAATAATTTAATGAACAGCTTGATTCAAACCTTCAAAGACCTATGAGGGGATAATGACGGAGACTCGGGAACGGTGGCCTTTAAGGCTTCACCAGACTGCAGTCAGTCGTGGGTCTGTGGCCGGTCGCGTGTCTTTAAAACTTTCTACCGTGGTCATATAGCGCTCTTTGGTGACACGACCTTCAGTTGCTCGGACGCGAAAGTGTCAGAGTTCCTCCCATGATTCAAGTGGTAGTAGTAGCTGCAGGGGTAACTGCACGTTGTCCGGCGACCCTGTCTCTGAATACAAGACAGTCATTTGTGTACACTGTCCCAAGAGGAAGTATATATGATCATTGTCTCTTTCCAGGAAGCATGTTCGGGCTGCTGGGGGTTCGAGATGTGGAATAGCATCATAGGTTGAGGTGACTGTGGGAGACGCCACCCAGCTGTGTTCTGCGTCCCTTGAGGGATTGTCCTACCCATACTTGTCTTGAGCAGCGAAGGGGAGCCACCGAAGGAGTATTGTCAGCCCTTATTGGCTATATATATACAGAATTGTCCCTGATCCAAAGGTGGTGGTTTTATGCGACCTGCAAGGTGGTTGTGTACGTGTAAGATCATATTATGGGGGTGGTCGTGACCCGCTGAGATGGGGCAGTAATGTACCGTTTGAGGAGCGTCTATGGCTTGGTTGAGACCGGACAGTAGGGGGGTGGTTAATACCAACTTCTGAGGGGCGTTGACAGAGTGCCTGGGGTGCTTGGTTTCATGCATGAACGTGGTTATGATGTTGTTTGATAGACAGGAATATTGGCTCGGCAGGGAAATATACCAAAAGCTAGGAAGTATAGTGCTGCTTTCTGCTAACCGAGACCTTGTTTGAAAATAAACGTAAAACGCTTTGCAGTGTGTACTCACCCTTTCTCTTGTGTAAGTTGTTGACTGACAAGCATTCAGTAATGATTAAAACCTGAAATGAATCTATTCTGATTAGTGGAGTCATTCAATTTTTTTCATTACAAGTGGAACACAAGTCTTCAAGCTTAAGTTTTAAAATTTCAGTAGCTGTGATGGTGTTGTTTTTACAGAGTGAGGTTGCCAGTCTCATGTCCAACTTTCCCTCTTCGTCCGGCTAATTACAGGCTAGGCGAGGCTTAGGAGTGCATCAGTCTGAAATCGAATGCGGTTGGCGAGGAATTCCACCATTGGACCACCGACACACAGCCATTCAGTTGGCTTACTTAAATTGTGTTATGTAATATATACATGCATATATATCGATTGCATGGATGATCTTTATTCCTTTCAAAAATGCATGTCTTGTATGATTTGTACAGTGCTACCTTTGAAAAGTTCAACTTATATCTCATGCTTAGATGGCTTATCAATATCAGTAATTCTAATGCTTTACTGATTGACAGATCTATTCTTCTCTTCTGCATTACTATTATTATTAGGCTCATTTGTGTGTATTTATAGGTTTTTGGCGCGAGTTTTAGTTCTTTTTATCACTGATTACAAACGTGAATTAGTAGTATTCTGATTACCAGTGTACTAATTTAAAGATATTTTAGTATACTGTAATCAATATTTGTTTTAGAAAGGCTTCTTCTTCTTCTTCTTTTTTCACTCACCATTTGTATTTCAGTTGTGTATTTTTTTTATTTCTTGTGTTCTGTAGTTTTTGTTTAAATCATGGCTTGTGTATTATTACATGAAGAGAAGGAGGACGAAGAATGTTAATGAAATTTTATCATACTACCTACGATGTATTTTAGAGAGATTCATCATAAGGGGCTTATAATATGAATTGGAGGTCGAAGTAACTATCTTAAAACTTTAAGGAGGCGACTGTGGATTCATTCCATCTAATAATAGTAGTAGACTACTACTACTACTACTACTGAGTGACTATTGAGTGACATTATGCTCCAGTCTATCGAGTGGAAGCCAGATTGAGAAGAGACGAGTTGGACGTTTGAGGGTGACATGAAGGAGGTCGTGTGAGGAGGAGGAGTTGGTATAGGAATCTATTAAATTCCACGAAATAGATGTGACGTATAACTTTAATATACTAATATTTATAGGGTTATGTTATTCATTGATTGAATTCTGTGCATTGTTGATGTAGCGTTAGAATGTTCTCCAACTACACGCAATCTTACATCTTAGAAATAACATCACCGCTATAAAAACTTCAAAACTTGAAGTTCTTTACTTCACTTGGAATATGAGCAATTTAAAAGGATTGAATGAACTCTTACAAAACAACTTATTAGATGTTTTTACCTTATATGATAAAAGTGCCCCGAGTCATCCTGGAGAAAGAAAAAGATGCACTTGGATACAAATCTCTGACTGGAACAAGCTGGATTCAAGAAGGGGAAATCTTGTACGGATCAGGTTGCAGCTGTATACATCATCATCGAGCAGAGGGTAGAATGGCAGTTGAATATCTATCTCTACTTCATTGACTTTCAAAAGTCTCTGGCAAGCATATATTGTGAAGTAATTTGGAAACCACCTCAACACTATGGCGTGAAGTGCCAGAATCTTGATCAACCTCATTCAATAACTATATGATAATACCGCGTATCAGGTGATCCACAGCGGGAAACTCAGCGAGGCATTTGAAGTGAATATAGGAGTATGACAAGCTGACTGCCTACTATCATAGATGACATTCGTAATTGTGGTGGATCGGCTTGTGCGAAAGACTGTGGGGATTGAGAAGATAGGAATACATTGAATCGATACGAAGACTCTAGAAGATCTAGACTTCGCGAACGACTCATGTCTAATGTCAAATAAATTTGAAGACTTGCTGGCAAAAGCTAACAAATTGACAGAAGATAAAGTCAGCAAAGACAAGACTTCAATTTAATACGGAGAAGATGGAGGTGATAAAGATAACCGACTAACAACAACCGGCACCAGTCACTATCAACGAAACAAATCTGTAAGACGTCATATCCTTCACTTATCTAAGAAGCATTGTTTCAACTACAGGCAAAACAGATTAGGATTTCTAAGAAGGAATCAAAAAGTCAAGGTACACCTTTAGCACCTTAAAATCAGTTTTGAAATCTTCTGGACTCAGTATACAGAATAAAATTCGGATTTCCAACACCAATTTTAAGTCAACCCATTCCTCAACAAATATTCCCGAAAAAATGGAAATGAATCGGGCACACGCCGGGGAGACCGTTGGATGATATCATAACCCAGGCCGTCACTCGAGTCAAGCCTAAATGGGAAACGACGCACTAGGTATTAGTCCATGTCTTTCCTGAGCTCAATACCGGATAGTCGACGTTTCAGAGTGCGTCAGTCAGGCGCCAAGCCCCGGACCATGTGCGTGGTCGGTTAGCATTCTACTACTCCTGACCCAATGATATTCGACCGTGAAATATAAGGCTTCAATAAAGCAATATTCTTATTGACTACTTACCATGGGAATTTATCCCCAAGGGAATGTCAAGTTATTTAAGCTAACATGGACTTTGCTTTCATATAGCTCGTTAAAATTGACTTCATTTCAACCAACAGTGACAGCCGCATATTTATTTGTATCAATATCCTCTAATAAACTTGGAACACTGTTAAAAGAATTTATCAACTACAATAGTAGTAGGGGTGATAGAGTAGTAGTACATCAACGAACATCTAACTACCGACTGCTTTGTGTTTTTTTTTCAAAAGCTAAAATGTTCCTTCTTTTTATTTTTTTTTAACTCCGTCCCTATTGCCGGAATGGTGCTTGTGTATTCTGTATATTATAAATTACAAATGCCATACCGTGAATATGTGATGTGATATACATTCACAGTTAACTAACTAACTGTATTGCGTAGAAATCTCTCTTAACCTTTTTAAAGAAGTGTATTTTCTTGCTTTATTTTTCATTCTCTTATGTGTGCTTTACTTTCTGTTTTTTTTTCTGGTGGAGAGGGCCAGGGCGAAGAAGAGGCATGTTAATGTTCATTGTTGTCAGAGAAATAAATATCTTTTAGTTTGTATTTACAAAATTAATTGATTATCTCACTTTACTACTTACAGTGTTTAACAGATTTTGGTCAGAATGATGAATGCGTGTGATAGACGTTTAAGTGAATTTCACCTATATATGTAATCTGCTACATAACTTAAGTGTAGGCATGTGTGTGTGTGTGCGTTGATTACAAATCATTTTTGTAATGAATCTAACAATTCAAGTATAATGTTTGGCATTGTCCGTTCATACTACTGAAAAGTACAAGTAGTTTAGTAAAAATAATCATACTGTTCTATACGAAAATCCATCGGTGATTCAATGGTTGAATCCTCGCCAACCATGCAGAAGGTCCAAGTTCTATTCTAAGCCGATACACTACTCCTTAACTCCCCTCTGCGCCAGATCATTAGTCTATAGTAAAGTCGGAAAAGAGGGATGGTCAGAGAAACAGCTGGCGATCCCACCCAGTAAAAACAACACCGAGACGAAAACTTCAGAAGGTTAAAGTCCTGTAGTCCACTTGGGAACGCAGGGAATAAAAAAAACACGATACCGAATTTTATTTTCTATTTTCATGTTATAGGGATTTTATTGATTTGAGTGGTAGACTTTCTCATAAATCTACATCACTAAGAGAACTATTAAAAAACAAAAGAACATGGACAGATGTTTCGCCCTCCTTTGGCGCTTTTCATCAGTTCGCACTTACCAGTTTGCTAGAGTTAGTCACCAGTGTTTAGTGAATGTTTAGTTAATCTTTGTTTTCAATGGTTCACTCAGTGATTTCGGTTGGCGATAAAATCAAGTCTAAAATTTCATTAGTGAGATTTACTGGTCAGCTATAAAATGATTATCGACTCATGAATACCTCAAGTTGGTCATAGTTTTACTAAACAACAGCCTCATGAATAGATCACACTTTAATTTTTTTAAAGAATGTTAATTACTGTGCAAGTGAAAATTAATCTGAATAAAGTAAAAACTACAGTTTTTGCAGAATAAAGTGGTACCATCATTCATTTAGTTGCCTTCTCATCATCTGCTTACAGCCCAGAGTCATTATTAAGTATATCTACAGAAACAATTTTAACATACTTGCACAGAGTTCATTTTTAAACAAAAATCAATCGGTCAACATTTGCCTACAATAATATATATATATATATATATATATATATATATATAATATTAAGCACTATTTTGAACAATAGTGATCATACAGAATGGAAACTTTTCAGCATTACGCATTCAGATGAAAAAGAGAGATGAAAATATTCAATTACCAGGGCAAAGAAAGACTGATAACTGCTTCTTTCTGAACGCATAAGTCAAGTTTCAGACGCTTGATGAAGATGGCTTCAGCAAACTTGAGGAGAATTGAGCTCTTTTGCCTATTGGTAATTTTGAATGACTTCTCGACGTCCACCTCATGACCCGTGTCAAAGAGATGCCTGGCGATGGCACTGTTTAAAGCGTTTGTTTCCTTTAGACATAAGCATTTTGGTACATGTTCAGAAAATCGTAGATATGCCGTTCTTTCTGTCCTTCCAATGTAACTGCTCCCGCAGATACATGTAAATTTCTATATACAGTTGGAGTTAACATGAGAAGGATATCTATCGATTTTCGATTGCACCAAAAAGCAAGTTGTTCGATAGGCGGCAACGAGCTTAGCTGCAGAATAGGTTCTGGCTAGTGACGTACTCAGTCCATTGTGTATGATCCTTATTGTTCGAAATAGTGTTTAATATTACATATATATATATATATATTATTGTATGCATATATTGATTGATTTTTGTTTAAAAATGAACTCTGTGCAAGTATGTTAAAATTGTTTCTGTAGATATACTTATTAATGATTGTGGGCTGTAAGCAGATGATGAGAAGGCAACTAAATGAATGATGGTACCACTTTATTCTGCAAAAACTGTAGTTTTAGCTTTATTCACATTCATTAAGGAGAATAAATGTATGAAATTTCTGAAAATTATTCGTTTTCTCAGTGTTTTAGTATGTAGTCAGCTCCTCAGAGTACGTTGTCACCTTGTCATTTGTTCACAAATTTAGAATTTTTAATATGATTATTAGATGAAAATGTTTTATAATTGATATGGCTGTTCTTTATCCTCTTCCTTTTCTTGATACTTTTCAATTCAGGTACACAAAGATCAGCTTTATACAATTTGTATGCTGTTTCTAATCACAGTGGTAGTGTATATACTGGGCATTATACTGCATGTTGTTTAAATCCTTATACAGGCAATTGGTACTCCTACAATGATAGTCAGTAAGTTTTGTGGTTTACGATATCAGTTGTATTCTGCTATTCTTTTTAGAAAAAATGCCTATACATGCGGAACTTCAAGTTATTCCAGTGGTTAGGACTCTCGCCGACCATGCACATGGTCCGGAGTTCGACCCCTGCCGACGTACACCTGATATCTGTGGTCGGCCTGCAAAATTTGGGCTAACGATATCACATGCTGAAAATTCCATACTTGTACCAAAAATAAGGTGTGGAATCAAGCTAAAATTTAAAAAAATCAAGTAGATGCAGCTATGTCTAATCGTCAGTGTTCATATAGGTTGCCGCCAAGGCTATGTTTGGCAATCCATGGCTGTGTATAACACATACACCAACCAGTCACTTTCAAGTGATACTAATTTATAGCTTTCTTGACTAACTTATTCATCTCACGTAGAACTTTACGCCTAACTTGTGCCTTGTCCAAGTGAGGTTCCCATACTGAACGCGGGAAATGATATATAGGTAGCGGTGGTCAGATACTTGCTATAGTTGACAAAAATGAAATGAGTAACTGTCCATTTTTCATAATATCAACCGTTGGAATTGGTTCTATGTAAGCTTAATTGAAAAGATTGCATTATGCGTTATTTAAGTAATTTCTGAGGTATGAAATTGTGTAGTGACTGTAAATAGTCAATCGGAAAAATGAAAATTATAATATTCACCACTTCATGATCACTTATGGAACTATTGAGAACTTGAGACGATTAAGTGGCTTAGAAATCATCATGATTGCGCTCCTTGTATCATCTGACAAAAAGAATGTGGAGGAGAGTAGTCAACTAGTCATAAAGTGTCATATGGAATCAGATAACTTCAAGAAAATCAAAAAAAGAGTGGGAACAATTTGCTTGGTGCTACTACATAATACTGGTCGACTGTTATTGAGTATTTGGATACCACTCATATCAACCAGCTATGTTTTGTTGGGTCTAAACACGAGACAGCAGTTTTGCTCATCAACAGGATGTCGTGTCTGTCCCAGTCCATAAGCCCAAATCACTTAAGACCACCTAAATTCTAAAGCGAACTGTTGTAATACTTGTAAAAATTGGCTATTTGCAAACGCGTTGATTTATTGTACACATTTCGAGGTGATGTTTTAACTACAATTTCCTTTGGAAACCGAAATAACTCAGATCATAATATGTGATATCGTGAATAGTAATCAAGACAGCAAGCATAGATGCATAATGCCTATATCCTGCTGACTGTTTGATATGAATAATCGGCTGCCACTGACATGAACCAGTAGTACTTGATAACCAGATCAATATGAAGTTACAACTTATTACACACTACTGACCTACTATAAGTTGATTTTCTGGAGTTTGAGTGAAAACTTGTCGTTTTTTGTGTTGTCCTTCAGTTTGAATATACGGATAGATAATCACTGTTGACACTGTGCGTCGGTGGCACAGTGGTTAGGACTCTCGCCGACCATGCACATGGTCCGAGCCCTCGCCGACGCACACCTGATATCTATGGTCGGCCTGCAAAATTTGTGCTACCGATATCCATGCTGAAAATTCCATACTTGTACCAAAAATACAGTGTGGAATCAAGCTCTATTCAAAAAAAAAAAAGAACTTGCACTGTACTGTAGATCCTACTCCCCATGATTTCTTTCCTTCACATCTTTGAGGAATTCAAAATTCGGATAAAGCAGCTCCACAATATTCTTCGACTGATTTCTTCTCCTCATCAATCAAGGTTCACAAACTGAACGTCTTGACATCTTAACAGAGTCAATTAGTATTCAAGTATTGGCTTGTATGGATTTGATTAATTAGTTGTAGGGTTTCATCATCAGCTGACATCAGTTAGAGAACCATCGGAAAACCAGATGGGAGTATTGGACAGCCAGGTATTCCGTCATAGTTCAGGACTCCTCAGTAGTAATCACCCACCATCACCGTTCGAACCCAGGACCTTCTAGTTCCAAGGTGAGCGAGCTCGTAGACCAATAAGCCACTGTGACCTAATCTAATGACCAGTCCACGAATTCCAGCTTCTGCCAATTCACGACATAGCGCTACCACTAGCGAATGTCATCGCAGGCGAGTATTTGTCCTCACGCCCGACCTTCTGTACTCCACTGGTCATCAGGACTTCCCAATGGAACATAGATAACTGCCTACCTGAATAGGGCCAGTCGCTGGCGAGCAATCAAAGGGTCAATTAAATGATTTTTACCTATTCGACCAGCTCTGGCTAAGTAATCCAAAAATAGTTTGCATAGATATTAATATTCCCTTATCTTAGGTGATTACAACGCTGATCGGAATAATGAGACGTCGTGTAAGCTAGCTATTACCTCATCATCTGCTTCTTTGGTACTGAAATTCTATTTCACTTTTATTATAATTAAAGATAAATCTCATATATATTATTAATAATTTCTCTTCATGACAATTTTTTTTTAATTTTTACAGTGTACATGCTATCTCAGAAAATTCAGTTGTCTCTGCAGAAGGCTATGTACTTTTCTATACACTTGTTCGATAATATATATATATATATCCAACTTCTCTTATTATTACTATTATTATTCTACTACATAATGTTAATATTACTCTTAAAATTTATTTTACATTGTAATTTTTCAATTGAAACACCTCTTTGCACTCTTTTCTGTTCCACCTCTTGCTTCACTTATCAAATAGTGTTGTATACACATGTGATAATGGTACTTTTATATACATATGATATACACAGTATATATATATATATATATATATATATATATATATATATAAACATTTATGATTCATATTCACCTCAGTATTTTTACACATGCAAGACAAAAGTTTCGCTTTGATTACAAACAATTATTTTGGTGTGGATAATATTATTATGCCTCATGGAAGAAATAGAAATTTTACTAAAAATGATAGATAATATCCCTGGGCTTTCATCTGATAGAAAGAAAAGAAAAGCATGTTTTCGAGGTGAAGAAAGGTCAAAGTAACACATAATCGTAAAGGATAACATGATGATATTTTTGTTGTTTTTCTCCTTTCTTGAGTACTTGAATTATTCTCGAATACTATTTGAATATTTATACACACGCACACACAAACTTCTTTCCACATATCCTTTTTGCACACACACACACAACACAACGCAGGAAGCTCATAGTTGACGACAATTCATGGAATTATTCAAGAAATGTCTTATTTATTTATTAATAAAATAATTTTAACTCTAAGCTTGAGAGATGCAGCAAAGGTTATAAGATGTTTGAAATGAATGCCTAACCCCCTTACTTACCTTTGGTGTGATGTGCATACACTTTTCTTTAAAAAAATTATTTCCTATTTATGTATATTATTAAGTGTACAATTCCTAGTGTATTGCTGTTTAATTATGAGGGGATCCCTTTGCATAGATTTGTGTGTGTGTGTGTGTGTGTTGTGAACGTTTGTATAGCACATCATTCTCAATAATTTATTTCTCTCTTATTCTGTTTAACTCTTCTTCTCACCAAAAGAAAAAAACAACAAAATTCTTGTGTGTATCTGTGAGTCTGTGTGTGTTAATTTAGTTGTACACACTCTCCTGCCTAATTTGTCTTCCAATTTCTTGAAAGTGTGTAGATTGACTATTACTTATTTATTTATTATTTAAATTGTTTTTGAGTTACTTAAAATGACGTGGCTGTGATACCTGCTTCTTGTTCTTCTCCCTCTTCCTGCTCTTTCTCTCTATTCTATCTACTCCACTTTACTCCAAACTACTCCACTCTACTCGTCTGTACTTTTATTTTCTTTGATTTATTTATATTGTAATAATGACAATAAAAAGAAGAAATAATAATAAAAACAATAGAATTTACAATGAAATACATTTTGTATTTTGCTCAAAACTGGTAAACAGCAGTTATTATTGTTATTGTGTTCATCATATCCATCATCCTTGTTATCGATCGACCGATCCATCTATCTGTCTATCAGTTTGTTTATCAGCTTATTTATTTTCAATGAATCTAAGGTGAATTGTTTTCCTATCGACTATTGATAGACATGACTGTTAATGCTTGCGAAAAACACCTTCTGTATCCTTTTTATTTTCTCCTTATCGCTCTCTCTCTCTCTCTCTATTTCTCTAGCTTTCAGTTTGAAAATCTTCCCTTTCTGTCTGTATTATCTTGAAGTATATATACGTATGTATATTTACCCCTATGCATAAACTATTATTTTTCTGCGTAGTTATAGTGTAAATTGTCAATTTTAAAGCCTTGAGGAGTTTTCTTGCCTAAGAAAGATAAAGAAAAATTTATATAAAAGGGGAATTTCCTCCCCGCCCCCGCCACTTTATACAATGTATCCTCCAAACACGCATACACACCCCCCCGCCGTCACAAGCATACACCACAGTCTTACCTGTTACATCATCTACATTTATTTTGAATTAAACATTTCTCCTGCATAGTTGTTTGATTCAATTAAAATAGAAAAGAAATTTCCTCCCTGTGGAAGTGGGGCGCGTGTGACAGGGGGTGGGGTGAGGCGGAATTCCGAATTAATTTCTGCATATTCAGTTGGATAGAAACTATGCAGTAAAAAAAGTGTGTATATATCTATCTGTCTATCTATATGTGTATGTATTTTTAATATCAAAACTGTGGCTAATATATTATTTACACTATGTATGCTACATGATGTAACAAAACAAACTGTGCAGAGATTAAACACTTTAAATGTAGATTTATTTTTGCGTAGATGATATTTACTCTTTATTTATTTATTTATTTTAATTTTTATAAAAGTCAACAACAACAACGACACCAAAAAAGAGAAATTGGTTAAAAGTTTGAATTCAAAGAATGTGTAATATGTGTTGTATGCGTTAAAGATGTCTTCCATTTGAAGTGTACACTTGAAAAATGTTATCTAGAAGGTACAATGAAAGGCTTGCAAGTAAGTAGACTATTCACACCTCAGAGAACACAATTACAACAATTGTCATCTATCTGAGCTAACGAATCTTCTTCACCACGTCTATTTAATTATACAGTGGAATAACTGCTGTAAGTAGCTGAAAACCATTGAAATGAATCTAATAACCACTCACTGGATCGTCGGTTGTAGTATGGATTTATCTAAATATTCAATAACCGTCGTATTTATTTGGATCAAGCTCATCAGCAGTTGTATACTTGGAGTAATTTTATCCAGAGAGCAGATCGAGTTAGGTACTTATGATAATTTTTACAATTTGATCACGGATTGATATCAGTTAGAGAACCCTTGAAAACCAGGGAGTCCTGGATAGCTGTTTCATGCTAATTTTGGAATCATCGACAGTGCGCACCCACCACAGGAGGTTCGAGCCCAGGACCTTCGGTCTACAAGACTAGTGAGCTCGTATACCATTCAGCCAACTCGGATCCGATTCAATGGCCAGCTCATGATTTCTAACTTCTACAGGATGGGGTTTCCTGGAGTTCTAGTGAGAAGTCACGACCAGTGAGGTCCATCCGGTCAAATGTGAGGATGGATTTCTCACCGATAACATTGGTTCGTGGTCGCCATAAATCACGAATTAATAGAAGTTAGAATTCCTAAAATGGCCATTGGATCGGGTCCCAGTGGCTGAATGGTATACGAGCTCGCTAGCCTTTTAACCCGAAGGTCCTGGGTTGGGTCGGCGCGTACTGCGGATGATTCTCAAACTGGGATGAAACAACTGGCTCTCCAGTACTCCTTGCTGGTTTTCAAGGGTTCTCTAACTGATATCAATCCGTGATCAACTCGTAAAAACAAAACTAATCCTAACAAACTAACTATAGGGAACTTATGAAAATGGTAAAGGATAAGAGAAGTGGTGGCGCGGACTTTTTATACATTTTTAACAACATTAAGAGCTAGCTGGGTTGGTCGGTGGACAATAAACTGTTCTGACTGGTTGGTGATTGGCCTACGATTAAAGGAAAGTTGTCCAGTGAGATTATTTCCAGACTACAACGTAAACTACACTCAGAGTTGAGGTATAAACACTTCTACGTCTTCAGCTATTGAATTAAAATGTTGAATTTTTAGTTTTTTCGGCTTCCTATCAATCTGCATCTCTTAAATATTGATTGTAGCACTGCCACACTTAGGCAAACGAGTAATTTATGAAAAAATAATGATTATATGTGACTGACTGAATGTAGAGGTCTACACACAAGGGGAACAGTTCAAGTTCCAAGTCACACTTCATATAGCGCATAAATGGTAGAGAATGAAATACATTGGAACTATAATAAATAGGAATGCACTGCAGAGAGAACAGGTATGTCGAGAATAATGAGAATTCAGTGAATCTATGCCTTCATAGTAAGTGATTACATCTGTGATATCTACAAGTGCCATCTATTGGTTCTTAGCGTCTCGATGATTCCAACCAGGCAGTACAGAATTTTTTACTTGGCTTAAACCATTCATCAAAGAATTCATGAATTAGTGTGATGTTTTCGTTTGACTACCCCTAAGTCTTTTCCTGCCCAATCTTAACATAGTTGAACGGAGAAGGTGGTGGTTTGATATATGTAACCGTCGGACTTGATGTATCCTCACGAACTCATCGATTGACTTTCCCTTATTACCTAACACTCTATACTTCACCATGTTATATCACTTAAGACGGAAGATAGAATGTACTTCGAAATAGGGACTCCCTATTTTAATTCATATCATGGTGTGAGGTTTACTCCTCCCCCTAACAAATGATACCAAGATGACAAGCATAAACGTCAGTTGCTATACAAATAACCAAAGTATCTCAGTCCAGTGCATAAGAAGTGATAGAATGCGATCCACTCATTTGTTCTTCTTTCAAGTTAACTGAAAAAAAGACTGAAATTTTGACAACATAACTTGTCACTGATGTATAACGATCTTAGTAACGACATCTTGCACCAAATAGCAAGTAGTAGTAAGAAGGGGAAATATGAGCAACGTTATGGAATTTGAAGAAAGACATACATGTTGCAGAAAGTGAATGACTAACTATTGTTCATTTTAATTAAGATAAGCACTTAGTATGAACGTGTACAGTCAGATGTGATCCTTTTCTGATGACATCTTTAGATAGATAAGACCTAAGAGAATCAGCATACATGTTAAAACTGAATCATGTGCTTATCTTTAACAGATATTTGATTAGTGACTACTTGAGCACTTCGTAGTACTTGAGTTGGCTAATCTATTGATGTGGTGAACACCTGAAATTTATTTTTAGTACAATTTGTTTTGTTTCAAATGTTAGCTGTGTAGCTTATTCATTTAAAAAGTAGTAAAACAAGATAGCAATGTTCTAGAATTAGTCTGTAGGGATTTGACTGGTTCCAAGTTTCGGTCATGGATCGATATTCAGTTAGACAATCATTGTAAACTATGAAGAATTGAATAGGTGTTTCTTCCCTTTTTTTAGTAGAACACATCAATGACCCCACTGACGATCGAATTCAAAACCGTCAGGTTGTTAGATCATCCAGCTACTGGGAAGCACTCCGACTTCTATCAGTTTTCGATTTTTACAGCAACCGATAGGGTCAAGGGTACCGACTACTGTAGAGTCTTACACAAGAGTGTATTAGCGGTTCAGTCCTCCCTGATTTCTGATTGTTCTCTAACTTATATCAATCCGTGATTAAACTTAGCTTCAGTTTTCTTTATCGACAAAATCATCTTTAGAGGCTATACAGTCGTATTTATACTTACAAAAATATATAGTGGTCTATTATTTAGTAATAATGGGGGGCCATAATTGATATAGTTACTCAGAAGTGGCTTTAGAAGTGAAAATTAAAAGTTGTAAATTACGTAGTACTCAACGGCACAAAGATAGAAACTTAATAAGGTTAAAATTGCTCTTGAGTGAGAATAAGGGTATTTGAGTGTCAATTTAACAAGTGTGAAAATATACAAAAGGAGCATATGAGATTGATAACAGTGAATTAATTATTAAAGCAAAAGCAAACTAAAAGTAAAATTAAAAAAGAAAAGAAACAACCAAAATGTTTTACAGGGAACGATTAGTGAAGAGGTTAAGACCAAGGTAGAGTAAGAGACTGGACAAACTTTTTCTGTATACTGAGTTCAGGGTTGTATTGATGAATCGCCAGCGCCTCCGCCATACACAAAAGACGAAACCTGACGCCCTTTGTACCACTTGGCTTCACTTTGTAGATGATCTTCAAAGACGACTCTGGTGGAGCTAGGTGGCCTGAGTTCACTAAATGCTCGAGAATTGAGCTAGTATTTGTCTTACATTTTCCCTTTGCTAACGATGTCGGATAATGTTCAGAGATGCATTCGGAAAGCGTGTGCTTTGTGCGGCAGATGAAACTAGCTCCAAACGAGCAGGTGAATTTATAAACACACATTGAAGTGGCCCATAGCGGCAGTTTATCCTTCACACATCCGTTGATCATTTGTCGGCTGTAGAAACTGACACGTAGCTCAGCCATAAAGAAGGCCTTCCTCAGTGATCTGCATAAGCGATTCTTCAGGATCTCAGCTGCAGTATCACCTTTAAATTCAACACTAATAAATAGCAATTTCTTCGGCACCGTCTGGATTCTTTCAAGCTTTTCCCTTAACTTTATGTTTTTCTCAATAAATCTTGGAGCATATACATTCTCTATGAAGATTTGTCTGAGTCGCCCCAGTTCCTCATCGATTCTATCACTTGAACATATCCTCCTTATTCTTGAGGATAAGGAGTGGATCAGATTTCCTTTTTCTCAAAGGCCGCACAAAGCGCACGCTTTCCGAATGCATCTCTGAACATTATCCGACATCGTTAGCAAAGGGAAAATGTAAGACAAATACTAGCTCAATTCTCGAGCATTTAGTGAACTCAGGCCACCTAGCTCCACCAGAGTCGTCTTTGAAGATCATCTACAAAGTGAAGCCAAGTGGTACAAAGGGCGTCAGGTTTCGTCTTTTGTGTATGGCGGAGGCGCTGGCGATTCATCAATACAACCCTGAACTCAGTATACAGAAAAAGTTTGTCCAGTCTCTTACTCTACCTTGGTCTTAACCTCTTCACTAATCGTTCCCTGTAAAACATTTTGGTTGTTTCTTTTCTTTTTTAATTTTACTTTTAGTTTGCTTTTGCTTTAATAATTAATTCACTGTTATCAATCTCATATGCTCCTTTTGTATATTTTCACACTTGTTAAATTGACACTCAAATACCCTTATTCTCACTCAAGAGCAATTTTAACCTTATTAAGTTTCTATCTTTGTGCCGTTGAGTACTACGTAATTTACAACTTTTAATTTTCACTTCTAAAGCCACTTCTGAGTAACTATATCAATTATGGCCCCCCATTATTACTAAATAATAGACCACTATATATTTTTGTAAGTATAAATACGACTGTATAGCCTCTAAAGATGATTTTGTCGATAAAGAAAATTTTCTTCTCCGAATCTGTCTTTTATTTTCTTCATAACTCAATGGGTATTTTCGGTTATTTAACTTCAGTTAAATAATTATTCTAAAATAGTATGAAAATACTATACAAGTCGAGTCAGAAGCTTTTACGAGTAAGCATTTAGTATTATTCAGGAGAACCTTAAGTGTGTTTTAAATTCTGCTGGCTGCCTGTTAAAAGTTCCGAAAAGGTGAATGACTCCACGTCAAGATAATCGCAATGAAGTCGGTAGAAGAGTTAGTTAGGTGTAGAATGAAAATAACATTTCGCTTCATTACTACAAGATTATGTTTCACTCAAATAAAATGCAACATACATATACACTACAGGTATGAGTCATAATCTTAAGCATTTTAATTTCGATTGTCATACCGTGAGGTTCACTCCTATGCAACTTACTTTATTTAGCAGTAAAACTAATATAATAACTCCTTACAAATACAGATCTACATCATAGCTTAGTTATGAAGAAAATACAACCTCAAGTGAGATGAGCGTTTGCAAGTCGAGATAAATTAAACCAAGCAGCAAATATTAATAAAGTCAGGATTTGATGAAATCATGAACTATCAGAAACACGTTTGTATATATGTTGTGGTGAGAGATGGCTG